AAATTTAAAATTTTTTCTTAAATATTAAAAAAACACTTAACCCTCTTCACTGAATAAGCTCGCATGGAAAAGAGACTTAAGACATGCTAGATTTAATCTCGGGCCTCACCCTGTAGCGAAATTCAGGGTATATTTTTGTAAAAAATATGCTCAAAGAAACAATTGATATGTAATTGGATAATCAATAGCCCCACAAAATAAAATTACTTTTTTCCAAAAAAATAATGTTGTCTTTATATTTTTAATTGAATTTAAATGTAATAATTTGGTAAATATTTAGATATGTTCTTGAATTATGTCAAAAAAATCAATTTAATTTTATTTTTTTTATTGAGTTTAAATAAATCATTAAATTTTTATTTCGAGTTAAATAAATTCTTTTTTCTAATCATTGATTAACTTCTGTTAATCAACAGTAACACTTTTATATCAAGTCATCTATCACTTGATAAATGACATGATATTAAATAATATTGATTAAGATTGAATAAATAAGTACAAAAGTAAATACATAAATCATAATCAATAATATTTAATACTACGTTATCTGTCACGTGACAGATGAATTGATATAAAAATGTCTATCTTTGATTAATTTTGAAAAAAAAATTTACTTGATTTAAAATAAAAGTTCATAGACTTATTTAAACACAATAAAAGAATAGAAGCTGAATTAATTTTTTTAACATAATTCAAAGACTTATTTAAATATTTAATTTAGTAATTTTCAATTCATTGGACGATTCTGGTTAGAAATAAAAAGAGTCAAGTAAGAAATAAAGAGGCTAGTCATTTTCCTTTTTTTTTTTTTTTCAAATTGTGCTATAAAAAGGTACCCAGCTGATCTTGGCCCTTCTGCTCAATAAATTAAGTAGCTAACTCGCAAGATTGACCTCTGTTAACGTCACAGGCCGTTCTAACTCAATTAACCAACTTCTCATTCTCATGGGCATTAAAATATAGATTTCCAGAAGTGATTGAGTCCAAACTAAGATTAAAGTATTTTATAAATCAAATATACGATTGTCAATTGATTCTCGAATCAGTTTTCTTAATTTTTAATTATTTTCATTAAAAAATTGCCAACTAAAAAGATTCAATTTTAAGTCTATTTGTAGTTTCATAGGCTTACCAAATGGCCTACCAAAAGCCCAATCAGGGTCGGCATTTGAAGATCCGTACAAAATGAGTCAAGCCCAGTCTAATCGTAAAGCAAAGAAGCAGCCGAAAAGAATTCTATCACAGGCCCAAGGTAAAAGATGAGGATTAGCGTCAAACGCCGAAGGATTTTGCCAGGCAAGCGCCCTGTCACGTTCCCGATAAACACGCAACTCCGAGTCCGCTGGAGCAGTCTTTTATTCATTTTTATTTTTATGGAGAAAATCCCTTGAAAATGACGATTATGGAAATCCAGACTGTAATAATATTGCATAAATAATAGTAGCCGATGCTTATCCGCAATTCCTTATTCTACTTATTGCTCTCTACTTCCAGTCGGCTACCATTTTCTGCCAGGTTCTTGCCTCGAAACGATGTCGTTAATGGCTTTAATCCTCCGCCGAAAGCTTCTTCACCACCCCACGCCTGTCCGTCTCCAACTAAGATTGCTCTCTTCCTCTACTTCTCACCTTGAAACGCCGCCGCAGCGCATTGAGAAAATTCTAGTGGCGAACCGAGGTGAGATAGCATGCAGAATCATGAGGACAGCTAAGCGTCTAGGGATTCGGACCGTGGCGGTTTACAGCGACGCCGATAAAGACTCTCTCCACGTGAAATCGGCCGACGAGGCGGTCCACATCGGTCCACCCCCCGCTCGGCTCAGTTACTTAAACGGCTCTTCCATTGTCGAGGCCGCAATTCGCACTGGAGCACAGGTGAGCGGGTCGAACTCCGAGTTATTTTGACATGCCACGTCTTCTAAATTACGGTCTTAATTAAAGAATTAGTGTCTCCAAAAGGTCATGTATAATGTGACGAGTTTAAGCATTTTAGGCTATCCATCCCGGTTATGGTTTCTTATCGGAGAGCTCTGAGTTTGCTCGACTTGTTGAAGATAAGGGACTTACATTTATTGGTCCTCCAGCATCTGCAATCCGAGACATGGGTGACAAAAGGTACTATTACGAATGCACTCCGCAACTGTTCAGAATCACATTTGTGTTTATTAATGATGTTTTTATTTGTGCTCGTTAGTGCCTCAAAGAGAATAATGGGTGCGGCAGGGGTGCCATTGGTGCCGGGGTATCATGGCAGTGAACAAGATATAGAAATTATGAAGTTGGAAGCAGATAAAATTGGATATCCTATCTTAATAAAGCCAACTCATGGAGGTGGAGGAAAGGTTTTCCCATTTTGTTGCCCTTTCTCGTTCATTTTATTGTTGTTGAATTTTTCTTTTTGGGAAGAATGGTGTGAGTTGTGACCTTAATTTTTTTATCATTGTTTCTACTCCATAGGCTTTATTTAGAATCATTGAGTTTTGTTCAGATGAGGTTCTTACCATGTTTATATGTTTAGGGCATGAGAATTGTACAAAGTCAGAAGGATTTCATTGACTCCTTTGTGGGAGCACAACGGGAAGCTGCTGCGTCTTTTGGCATAAACACAATTTTGCTGGAGAAATACATTACACAACCAAGACACATTGAAGTCCAGGTACTATTATGGCTATTAGTGTATGGTTGTACTTGATTTTTAAAGGTTCATATTTGGAAAATTTAGTCACCTGATCTTGTTAAGCATTCTGGAAACTGTATAACATTTTGGCAAATGTAATAAGCTGCATTAGAGGAGATGTTGTGATCAATTTCATTGTCCATTGGTTTTATGTACTGATCAAAAGCTTGTTCCTGTTTGACGCCAGTAGATATTTGGTGACAAATATGGCAATGTTCTGCATTTATATGAGAGAGATTGCAGTGTGCAAAGGAGACACCAGAAGATAATTGAAGAAGCTCCAGCTGTAATACTGCTTTCTATACTTTTCAGTTCAAGTCTTTTGTTGTAGATCTACAAAAATTTTGACTGAAACTCCATCGATGCAGCCATGTGTTACCAATGAATTTCGCTCACACTTGGGTCAGGCTGCTGTATCTGCTGCTAAGGTGATGTCCTTCATAATCATTTTGCTGATAATTGTTGATTTGCAGCTTGCAAATGTCATTATTGGATTAATATTATCTCTGTTTGCTTCGGATTTCTTAGTAATGCAAATTTTTTTATTAATGAAAGTTTTATGTGATTAAAAAGATCTCCAATGGCAAGGCTGGGCCAAGGAGGGGGTTATTTCCTTCAAGGAATTTTTTAACAGGAAAAAGTTTTTATTTTGTACTTTATAACAATGAGCTATCTTTTGATTGAAACTTATCCTTGTTACTATAATAGAAAAGAACATGAAGTTAACTACATGGCAAGGTGGTTTGATTAGCAAATCCTTTAGCTGCCAGTGTGACAATAAATGATTGTTGCTGTTGTTTTTGTGGCTAATTGGAGAGAGCCAAATCCTACACATTGATAGCTTCTCTCATAAATTTTGTTCTCATATATATTTTTTTCTGACATTCTTGTTTATATTGTCTTGCATTTCATGATGCAAAAGGCTTCGGGCATCCTGCTTGTTTTAAGTTTAACTGCTATAAATGATATATACTGATGTATGTGATTTTTAAAGGCAGTTGGTTATCACAATGCTGGCACTGTGGAGTTTATAGTTGATACCATAACAGGTCAATTTTACTTTATGGAGATGAACACCCGACTTCAGGTGCTTTGATCACTCTTTTTTATTCCTATTTTGATTCCTCAAGCTTGACGAGACCCTAACAGAGAGCACTCATATTTATTCATAGGTTGAGCATCCTGTGACTGAGATGATTGTTGGTCAAGATCTTGTGGAGTGGCAAATTCGTGTTGCAAATGGGGAGCCTCTTCCTATAAGTCAGGTGCAGGTGCCCTTGTCAGGTCAACCTTTTGCCCTCTGAAAAGAGCTATATGTATAATTTTGCTGTTGCTGTTCCTTCCTGTTTTTCTTCTATTTTTGAAATTGTCATTCTTGTGATGTTCTATTTGAAATTGTAAAGAGGGTTGCACGTCTGCGTGTGCATGTGCCTTTTTTGTGTTTTCCATCTGTCCTTTTTCATTAATCATTGAGGAATTGACTGGGGAAGACTGTAGGGTTAGAATTATGATCCTGTTTGCTAATGGGATAGTAGTAATTGTTATTATTCATCAATAATATATACTCTAGCTATTAGTATAGCTTAAAGCATCAATGCTTATGTGATCATATATGATGGTGGCAAATTTGTTAGAAGTATGCTTAAAAGAAAGTTATTGCTATTAATATCTTTCAATTTTTTAATTTTGGGAGTAGTAATATGGAATGTTCTATGTTTCATGGTCTCTCTATTTCCCCCCTTTTTTCTGAAAATGTGACTGAACCATTAGAGGATCTTAAAAAGGTGACCAAGATCCAATGAATAGGTTAATGGCTGCTTCCGTTTTGATTTATCATTACTTGCCAGGATGTTTAATTGTTTGAACAGTGGTGAGGTTCTTTCTAATGCTGAAACATTCTTTAGTGTTGTGACATGTGTGGACCTCTAATCTAAAGTAAATGTCAATTGTTAATCTGTAATTTTATTTATTTTTAAAAACTTAAGCTTTAGAGCATCATTACTGAATATTTATGAAGATTATATAGGGTTACCATCTTGACAGATTTATGATTACTCATTATTTGATAGGTCACGCTTTTGAAGCTCGAATCTATGCTGAAAATGTTCCCAAAGGATTTCTTCCTGCAACTGGAGTTCTTCATCATTATCATCCTGTGCCAGTTTCATCAACAGGTGAATTTCCAATGCAGTATGCAACATCAAGTTTCTTGGATTTAGAAAACAATTACCTCAACCCACATATTGGAGAATCATCCTAATAGTAAAAAGGCCACATTGGAGGAGTTGTGTTAGATTGGTGGCTAGTCTCCTTGTGCTGTTGTTTCCATCAGGCAATGCTAGCCATCCTTTAATTTGATAACCTGTAGTCTAATTTACCAACCTTTTTGCACTTGGAAATAGTAGAGAAAATAGGATAATTGGTATATCTTATAGCCATTTGTTCTAAATTGAGGATACCAAGATGTCTAAGCCTTGGAGTTTTATTTCCTTTTTCTTTCTTGCCCTTTTTGCTTATTTTGAGCTTTTCCTATTTAACAGTTCGGGTTGAGACTGGAGTTGAACAAGGAGATGTTGTTAGCATGCATTATGATCCTATGATTGCAAAGCTTGTAGTATGGGGAGAAAACCGTTCTGCAGCACTAGTCAAATTGAAGGATTGTTTGTCAAAGTTTCAGGTATAAAATCCTTTATTAAGAGTTTCAGTTCTAAACTTAGTGCAAAAGAATTCATGATTATCTCCCTGAATATATGCCTACTTATGAACTTGGCTTCAGTTTTATGGTGAGTTCTCAGTTATATGATTCTCTCGTTGTTTGCTGGTTCATAGTTAAACATGAAAGCATAATACCAAGTGTTGGGTTCTTCTAATTACTTTTAATTGTCAATGAATAGTTTGGAGATAATTGATGGTTCTGCATGTTGAATTTTGTATTTGAATGTAATAGTGGTGAACTTATATATTTTCATTTGCATCTTTTTGTCTTTTTGTATTTGAATGTAATAGGAAAAGAATAAAAGAAATAAAGAAAATAAAATCCCTACAATTATGATGATTCCCAATCCCTATAATTATGGTGAATCCCAATCCTTATAATTATGGTGATTTCAATCCCTATAATTACGTTTATTAATAAAAGAATATTACACATTCCTTATCTATAACATTCCCCCTCAAGCTGGAGCATAGATGGTAATCATGCCCAGCTTGCTACGAATATAATCAACTCGAGGTCCATTCAATGCTTTCGTGAAGATATCTCTTAGTTGATTTGCAGTTTTAACATATCCTGTAGGGATGAACTTCTGTTGAATCTTTTCACGAACAAAATGGCAATCTACTTCAATATGCTTAGTTCGTTCATGAAACACGGGATTGGAGGCAATATGGAGAGCAGCTTGATTATCACACCACAGCTTTGCTGGCAAAGAAGAGTTAAGACCAACTTCACTTAATAGCTGATACATCCATACTACCTCACACACAGTTTGTGCCATAGCTCTGTATTCTGATTCTGCACTAGACCGAGATACTACATTCTGCTTCTTACTTTTTCATGAGACCAGATTTCCTTCAACAAAAACATAATATCCCATAGTGGATCTCTTATCACTCTTAGAACCTGCCCAATCTGCATCTGAAAAACATTCAATATTAGTGTGTCCATGATTTTCATAAAATAGACCACATCCTGGAGCCTCCTTCAAATAACATAGGATTTGTTCTAAAGCTGCCCAATGATTAATTGTTGGAGCAGACATAAATTGACTTACAATACTAATAGAGTATGCAATATTAGGACGAGTCACTGTGAGATAATTCAATTTTCCAACCAGCCTTCTATACTTTTCAGGGTCTTCAAACAATTCACTATCTTCTTTTGTAAGTTGCAAATTAGGAGTCATTGGTGCATTACACGGCTTAGCACCCAATTTTCCTGTCTCAGTCAACAAGTCAAGAACATATTTTCTTTGGGACAAGAATATACCTTTCTTACTCCTTGTCACTTCAACACCCAAAAAATACTTCAACAACCCTAAATCTTTTGTCTGAAACTGGGTATAAAGAAAGGATTTGAGAGATGAAATACCTGCAGTGTCACTCCCAGTGATGACAATATCATCAACATACACTACTAGTAAGATTATGCCTACCTCAGACTGTTTATAAAACATTAAGTGATCACACTTACTCTTCATCATCTCAAACTCCTGAACTGACTCACTGAATTTGCCAAACCAAGCACGAGGGCTTTGTTTCAGGCCATACAA